AAACATGAAAGAAATAATCATCTTTATTAAAACATTCAGAATGAGTTTATAAGAAAAGAACAAGGAAAACTTCTCTATATTGTGAATCAAAGCTCTAGAACTTCTGTTACTTCTCTTCTCTGTAGATTTTTCTCCTCTTCTTCTCACCCAAGAATATCCCTAAAATAATGCTAAAGACCTCCCTTTATATCCCACAAGGGTTAGGGTTTTATTTCCTTCAATTCTATTAGGGACAGGACTCTTAACCCTATTTTTCTACCAAAAAACGGATAAGTGATTTTTAAGTTCCGTGACAGTGCCCCAGCATTGTGCTGCAGCACAGTAGCTACTAGAAAAGGTGTGTCGCAGCACTGTGCCGCTGCACAGTAGCTGCTGGCCTTCTTCCCGCATCATTCTGTTGTTCTTCAGAGATGGTGATTTTTGAACTTGATAAAGATGAAATTTTGAAAAGTGGAAAACATATGAATTGTAGCCCTTTGAATCAGATTTCTAACGGTCAAGAATCGTCTTAATTCTAGTTCTAAAGCTCAAGATATTATCAAAATACCGAGGCATGTTCAAGCTGGAACATAATCTAGAATCTTCTCTTTACTTCAACTTCCATAACTTCTTCAATTCAACTCCGATTCTTGATCCGTTTGTTTTCACTCGTCACTCATTCTGTTGCCAACATGATTCTTAATCCGAGCATAACATTTAAGCACTAGTAGCCTGAAAAACACTCAAAAACACCCCTGATCCTGTAAAAGGCAATTATGAAAATATTAAGCAATTTTACCAAATTAAGCCTAATTTCCCATAATTAATCCCCATAAACCACTAACCAAATGTTTATTTTCAAGCTCTTATCATAACCCCCAACCAGCTTCTTGCTAGTCCCTAGCAAGCTAAGCGATAGAACAAGTCCTTTAGCTTGAAACCTCAAACAAAATAAAGTCTATATCTAAACTATCCTGTAACGCCCCGCTTGAGGTACGTTGTTATTGTTTCCTCTTTTGCCCTTAATCGAGTTGGTTTTTGTTATTATTATTTGTTTGAGTGTTGTGTTGAATGTTTGCCCTGAAAATTTGGATGAAAACAGAAGAAGTTCAGTCTGCCGTTCTTCGCCGGGGCGAAGAAGAAGCTTCGCCGCGGCGAAGATGTGTTGAAACCAAGGGGAACTCCCTGGAAAGTTTCGCCGCGGCGACAGAGGTTTATTCGCCGCGGCGACGGCCCGAAATAAAAGTGTATTGATTTTAGATATTTTCTTCCTTAAGGACAATTTGACCTTTCTACCCCTAATTAACAGGAAAAGTGGGGAGTTAATTGTAAGGATATTTCATGGAGAATAGTTGAGATAGGGGTGAGTTTGTAATGAATCAAAGGATATGGATGAATTCCCAAAGTAGAACAGGGCAAAATGGAATGAGTGTGTTTATATTTCATTAAAAGAATTAGAATCAAAGAAACCCTCATTTCTTCTTCTCAAACGTACTCTTCATTCTTCTCCTCTCAACTTCTCTTTTCTTTTGATCAAGGTTTTCAAGGGATTTTTGAAGGGTTTTGGGGTAGAAAAGCAACCTAAGGCTTCCTAAGGTAAGGATTTCTTCTTAAGTTGTGTGATTTGGGAGTTTTAACCCATATTGAAGTTTGAGGGTTTTCATTCTTTTGGTTAGATTAGAGGAGAAGTCAAGCTAAACAAGTGAAAGGAAGAATTTGTGAGTCTCTCCTTACAGTAAGTAAAACCCAACCCAAGTTTGAGATTTATGAATTTTCTTGATTAGGGTTTTGATAGAAATGATGTATGTATGTGTGTGCATGTAATTAGCATGTATGAAGGATTAAATAGAGATTTCTATGCTTTGTGATTGTTATACCTTGCAAAATTGAGAAATGGGTTGTTGGTTTGGCAAGGTAGTTGAGATGGAATTTAAGGGGTATTATGTATTCCCTTTTTGGAAGTGTTTTCTATGGCAGGTTTTGTGACTTTGTAAAGGGGTTTTTTCCCCCATTTTGGATGGTTAAGAAAGTTTTAGAATCATGGCTAGATAGGGTTTTGTAGTGCACATGAGTTGTTTGATGAAATGCCTAAGAGGTTTGAGTGTGAGAAATAACCTTAATTCTTGCAACATTGCATGTTGGCATCTCATAAGTGCATTGGTGAAGATGAACCATCCATAGGCACTAGTTGTCATGGAAAAGTGATCTAAGAAAGTGTAAGGAAATGGTTTATGCAATTACCCTATGTAGAGAGCTTAGTGGGTAAATTACTCTAAGAGTAGAGAGCATTGAAAAATGCTACAATAGAATGAATTGAAGAGTAGTATAGTTGGAATGATGCTTTGTGATCATCACCCGACCGTTATGGGAATCGGATTGATGCTTGTGATCATCATCCGAATAGCCCTTAGATGATGGGTCGATGCTTTGTGATCGTCACCCGATAGGTATAAATGGGTAGATGCTTTGTGACCGCTACCCGGTAAGCGATGGATAAGTAGATTGATGCTTTGTGATCATCATCCAACACTTAGTAGAACGGGTTGGCTTTGTGACCATCACCCGATAGTGACTAGAGACGGTAAATGCTTGGTGATCGTTACCCAAAATTCATAAGAGGCGGTAGGCGCTAGGTGATCTCCACCCGATAGTTAAAATAACCGAGTTGGTGCTTTGTGATCCTCACTCTAGTCACTATGAACGGTTGTACTGTGTGAATTCCACCCGATGCCATAGAGAGTGAATGGTGCTGTGTGAACGCCATCCGGTCGTACCTCCGGTAAGATAGGCCATGATGTTATTAGAAACAGAAATAGAATCAGAGATAGCATAAGGAAAGAATTAAGAGTTATTACGGGGACAGACAGATGAGAGTTTTACTTACTGAGCATTATTTTGTGCTCACCCCGTTATTTTCCTTTGTGGATGCAGGTTCTAGATGATGTTCGGTCGGAAGGGCGTCGGCAAGCAATGAGGAATAGCTACACTGTTTCCCCTGTTTGTCTTTTAAAATACATTTTTGTAAACAGTACTCTTTATGTATAAAAGACACATGATTTTAATGAAAGAAAACTTTGGGCCCAACTTTTCTATTGTTATTATGCATGCATTGTACAGTTTTCAATAGGTGTTACATATCCTAAATCACTTCCGTAGATTGTCACGGTTGTAGTTAGCATATGCAACAACCTTTAAACCCCTAAGCGCCCTAGTTGGACGAGTTATAGTCTCGGGAGGTTTCCAGCGATGATACCACAAGCATCCAAACCTACACCCACCTAGACTCAAAACTAAGAACTTAAACAAACATTTTAGGATTCATACATAAATCATCTCAAAAATTGTGTCAATGTGACAATCGAATAATTAACAACATCAATGTAAAGAATAAGTGAATTTCAACTACACTTTTGTTATTGACTCTCTCATAATCATTCACAACCATTCATCCAAAGCCCAAATATTTTATGCATAGCTTCCATAGTCAAAGTATGAAAATAAAACAAATGTCAATCAAACTCCATAAGCTCACTTTTCAAATCACTCTCCACTAATGTAAATCCAATCACTACCTCAGATCATTAGGTCTTTTTCATGGTTGTAACGTTAGGCTAGGATAATGGTTTATGAAAGAAAGGAAAGGAATTTTTAACGAAACGTAAGAGACAATATTTTACAGTAAATGACCATGAACAATCTCTTTCTTGCTTCCCTTCTCATTCGCCCTCTACCCTTCACATTGATTGAACCTTCCTTCCAACATTAGCACAAACTCCATGTAATGTACCTCATTTCAGTTCTTCTTCTTCCTATTTTCGTCAAATTTTTTTATTTTTATTTTTAGGAAGATAGTAACTCATAAAAAAAAATTTCTACCCCCCCTTGCTTCTACTATCATTTTTTTTTCTTTTCACAACCCCCAACCTATCTCATTACACATACCAGTTGTGGTTCCAAAAGATATATTATTTTCTTCTACCACACTTCTTTTCATGAGTTTTTCTTATAAGGTCACCCTAAATTAAGTCTCTCACATAAGATGGGTCGGAAAGTGTTTTTAGGCTTCATCGTCAAGGTGAGATATAGTAGGTTTACAACAAAAAAAAATTAGGCTTACCAAGTGTATAATAATAGGCTGAAAGGGTACTAGATAAAGTAAATGGTTGGCTTGAAGGCTCAATCGTTCCAAAGAAAATTGCCTAATCATATCCTAAGCAATGCAGATTCAGGATTTCGCCTCAAGTAGTATCAAATGAGTTCAATTATGCACAATTTTCACAAAAAAATTATTGCCCATAAACACACACATAAAACGTCTCTAATTTCCAAATTATTCAACCAATCAAACCCATTCCCAAGAGTCATAACTAAATGCAATTGTCATCTACTATTGTCTTTACACTACGTGAAAGTTAATCAAATCTCAATGTCACAAATTCACTATCATAGTCTTTCATTGACTTATGGATGAGCAAACTCCTAACAACATTTCACCCAAAAGCTTTTAAAGAGATAATTCAAAGCAAAAGATATCAAAGATGTCCATCGAATGAACTAAATTTGGCCATAAAAAAATATTCCTTACCCCCAACGTTAGAGATGAACATTGTCCTAATGACAAAGAGAACAACTACAATGTCCTTCGTGTTCAAGATGAATGTGGAGATAATCGCGTGAAGGCATGCATAACGTTTGCCGTGTCCAATAGTCATTGGAAATCTAGTAAAAAAAAAAAAAAAAAAAACTATGCGCCTTTCTTGGCCAATTTAGTGTGCATAATAAAATAATGGGTGAACATAAACAATTAACATGTCAAACCAACCAAAGTTATCACAACTTACACATTAAATGAAAATCTAAAATAAATTCAAAACAAAACTCAAATTAAAGTAAAAGCTTGGGTGGCCTCCCAAGAAGCCTGCTTTATTAGATTCTTAAGCTCGACTTTTTAAATCCTTCATCTGGATCATCTAGGAAAATCCAAACCCTTCTATCCTTACTGCCACCATCTACATAAAGCTTCAATTGCTCTCTTTCCCTCTTATTCTCAATTTCCTCCTCCAAAGTCCTAAAATTGACACACACTTTTCTAAGGGTAAAACAAGTATTTTTTCTTCTAAGGTCTCAGCTACTTTATCATCAGGGATACTAATCTCAAAGCATGTATCTAACTTGGGTGGACATTTCATAGTATCAAAAACATTGAATTCAACTTGTTCATTCTCTACCCTCAAGATTAGTTTTCCTTTATGAACATCTATCAACGTTCTACCCGTAGCTCGAAAAGGTCTTTCTAAAAGTAGAGGCACCTCCTGATCTTCTTCCATATCTAATACAATAAAATCTACCAGAAAAAATAGTTTATCTACTTTTATTAAGACATCCTCTACTACTCCCCTGAGGTATTTTATAGACCTATCAACTAATTGAAGATGGATTATGGTTGGTTTTACTTCCCCTAGGCCTAGTTTCTTATAAATTGAAAATGGCATGAGGTTAACACTAGCTCCTAGGTCACATAAAACTTTAGCAAAATGAACATTACCTATTGTGCAAGGAATTGTGAAACTCTTTGGATCTCTGAGCTTTTGTGGTAATTTCTTCAATAGCAACGCACTACACTCTTCCATAAGCATCACCGTCTCATGTTCTTCAAACCTCCTCTTTTTGGTGATAATCTCCTTCAGAAACTTTGCGTACTTCGACATTTGCTCCAACATGTCTACAAAAGGAATGTTAATGTGTAAAGATCTAAACATGTCCATGAACTTACCGAATTGCTTATCCAATCTTTTTTTTTGCACTCTGTGAGGATACGGGAGGGTTGTGTCATCGTTCGTCGCAACATGGGCATTTTTGTCAATTTCTGCCCCTGTGCCGCAACACTGTGTTGCGACACACTTGGTTCTACCCTCTTTTTCATCTTCAAGTTTTTCCTTTGTTTCGCCTTCTTTGCTTGCTCCCTTCAACTCCTTACCACTTCTCAGCATGATAGCATTGAATCTCTCCTTCAGATTCTTATCGGTATCACTCGACAATATTCCTTGAACTCTTCCCACTAAAATATTGTGGATTTGCCTCATTTGGGTTTCAAGATTTCTTATGGAAACGGATTGGTTTTGCAATAAAACTTCATACTTTTGGAGTTGAGCTTCATTCTTGTCAAATCTTTTTCCTGACTCCTCTATGAATTTAGTAAGCATACTCTCCATATTAGATCTCTTCTCTTGAGGTTGGAAGCTTGGTGGTGGTTTGTGCTCATTGTTGTTACTCCACGCGAAGTTCGGATGATTTTCCCATGCCGGAGTACATGTGCTTAAGTATGGATTCCTTTGCCTTTTTTGAAAATTGTTGACATAATGCTCTTGTTCGAGTTGAGCAAATAGACTTCCTTCTTAGCAATCTCTAGATAAATGATTTCCTGCACAAAATTCACATGTTAGAGAATGAGTTTTAATAGCATTTACCTTTAAGGTAACTTCCAATTGCTTTTGAATGGCTGAAAGTTGAGTAGCCAACGCGGTGTAGCCATTGACTTCATGCACTTCTGCTACTCTCCTAGGAACATTCCTTTCCAAAGGTCTCATGTAATTGTTGCTAGCCATCACCTCAATCAATTTATAGGCTTCCTCTGGTGTTTTATTATTCAAAGCTCCCCTACTTGTAGCATCAATCATCACTTGTATATTTGGCAGTAACCCATTGTAAAACATCTACACTTGCGACCATATTGGCAGCCCATGGTGAGGACACCTCCGTAAGAGATCCTTATATCTCTCCCAAGCTTCATAAAGTGACTCCATATCTTGCTGGAAAAAATTAGTGATGTCACTCCTCATTTTAGCAGACTTGACAGGTGGGAAATATTTCGTAAGGAATGTTTGAGCTAACTCATTCCATGTAGTAATACTTCCTGATGGCAGAGAAATCAACCAAGCCTTAGCTTTATCCCAAAGAGAGAATGGGAAAAGTTTAAGCCTAATTGCATCATCAGATACTCAATTGTGTCTGAATGTGTCACATAGCTCCAGAAAGTTTGCAATATGCAGGTTGGGATCATCATTAGGTAACCCTGCAAATTGAACCGAATGTTGTATCAATTGAATAATTCCGGGCTTTATTTCAAAAGTATTTGCTTAAATTGGTGGCCTCCTGATGCTAGAATAGCACCCTTCAACAGTAGGACTAGAGTAGTCCTTCAATGCTCTTTGAACAACTTCAACTCCTGTATCAGCCATTGAACTAACTCCTCTGTATAGTCCAACACTAAAAATTAAAGCACTAAAAAAAAAAATAATTAAAAAAAAATATAATACAAACCAAATTAACAACTAAACAGCTTGTATTGATATTGATAATATAAAAGCAATTCCCCGGCAACGGCGCCAAAAACTTGTTGTTGATTTTCGCAAGTGTATGAAATCGTGCAAGTAATAAAGTGTATAAATACGGATATCGAACCCAACGGAATTACTATTATCAATTACCAATTAAACTATCCTATTACTATTTGATCAATCCAAATTTTATCAAGGAAAACCTAAATTAAATAAAATTAACAATTGAAATTAAAAAGAGAACAATTAAAATAAACCTTTGGGTAAAAACAAGATGACTAGACCTAGGACATAGACTTCACACCAACTTTTATTCATATATATCGATCTCTTATGCTAATTTGGTTAAGCTCTTCCTACAGGTCAAACTCCCTAAATTTCTAATAACTTTCTCTCGAACAATTATCAAATTAACCCATAATTACTAACCCGAATGATCTCTAATCAGATTTAAGCAATTGGAGATCATTACGCTCTATGAAGTTTACCAAAACCTCACAAGTCGCGGTAACCTATCTCTAGCGTTCGCTCAACCTATGGTTTTACTACCGTAGACCAACTAAGTATCATCTCTCGATCTCAACCTAGTCCAATAGGGTAAAACCCCCCTCCAATCAGGTATCCTCTGAATATCCCTCAATGAGAATCCCAGGGATACATGTTTGGAGAACGAGTTGTATTTAGAAGAAAAAAAACCTGTGTAAGGATAATAATAATAATATCCGAAACATGCATATAAAATGTCATGCAGGATCCAAACATATAATTTCAAAACTTTAAAAATTTATTCATTTGACATCTTGGGTATTACATTTAGTTCATCCAATTCTTGGGCCCTTAAGAATCAAAAGCATTAGGAATAATAGTAAAACTTAGGAAGAATCCTTAATAAACATGAACAATCAAAGATCAATACATAATTAAGAGATTGGGCTACATCTTAGCCCGAGAGAATAAATTTAGTTCATTATAAACATGAAAGAAACAATCATCTTTATTAAAACATTCATCATGAGTTTATAAGAAAAGAACAAGGAAAACTTCTCTATATTGTGAATCAAAGCTCCAGAACTTCTGTTACTTCTCTTCTCTGCAGATTTTTCTCCTCTTCTTCTCACCCAAGAATATCCCCAAAATAATGCTAAAAGACCTCCCTTTATATCCTACAAGGGTTAGGGTTTTATTTCCTTCAATTCTATTAGGGATAGGACTCTTAACCCTATTTTTCTACCAAAAAAATGGATAAGTGATTTTTAAGTTCCGTGACTGTGCCCCGACACTGTGCTGCGGCATAGTAGCTACTGGAAAAAGTGTGCCGCGACACAATAGCTGCTGGCCTTCTTCTTGCATCATTTCGTTGTTCTGATTTTGGAACTCGATAACAATGAAATTTGGAAAAGTGGTAAACATGTGAATTATTTCCCTTTGAATAAGATTTCCAACGGTCTAAGAATAGTCTTAATCTGAGTTCTACAGCTCAAGATATTCTCAAAATACCGAGGCATGCTCAAGCTGAAAAGTAATCTAGAATCTTCTCTTTACTTCAGCTTCCATAACTTCTTCAATTCAACTCCGATTCTTGATCCGTTTGTTTCCACTCATCACTCATTCCGTTTCCAACATGATTCTTCATCCGAGCATAACATTTAAGCACTAGTAGCCTGAAAAATACTCAAAAACACCTGTGATCCCGTAAAAGGCAATTATGAAAATATTAAGCAACTTTACCAAATTAAGCCTAATTTCCCACAATTAATCCCCATAAACCACTAACTAAATGTGTATTTTCAAGCTCTTATCATAGCCCCTCAAATTTGGCCTGTTAATTGTATTTTTCTCTTGTGGTTTTAGACAACTAGGAAACTCGAGGTATAGGAAATGACAAAAATATCCCTCAATTAAAATCATCCGATTAACAAACTACTAAATAAACATATTTTTAACATCAGTTTTATGGGTATTTTTATTATTTTAGTTTCAGTTAACAATCTTGACTAGTAACATCCATTCAAATTAGAGGAGAGTTGTCTAGTATTTAGAACTGTAGGACCATGACCAAAGTAAACTGAAACCAGATTATTTTTTAATCACCGGGGGTGTTTGGGCCAGTTTACGCACACCTCAACTAATCCTCCGTGACCCTAGAGCTGCTGATCGAGTAAGAGTCCATATGACTGCTCCTATTATTGTTTAAGGGGATTCAAACTCAGGAGCTCATAAAATCTTTTTTTTTTTTTTTTTACCATCAGGTCACCCAGTGATGGTTAACTAAAACCACAGTGGTGATGGGTGTGTTTGTTTTATCATTTTGAGTAGTATTTTTGAAATATTATTGGTAGGTAGAGTTGGGTGATTATTATGAGGTAGAATTTAAAAATTAACAAAAAAAAACCCCCTAGGTTTGCTAATTTAATTAACACCCCAATATATAAAAAATTTATAAAATGACAAAAACACCCCCACCACACACAGTTGCCAGATTCCGGCCATCACTGCGAAAATCTGGCCAGAATCTGGAGTTATGGTGCACGACTGGCTAGATCTGGCCGATCGTGCGCCGAGATGACCTTTTCCAGCCAGATCCACGCCGGTAAATGATATATTGGCACACTACCAGCCACATCCAACCGGTAGTGGGCCATTATACCAGATTTCGGCCACCTTCTGGCAGTGGTGGCCGGAATTTGGCAAATGTGGGTGGTGGGGGTGTTTTTGTAAATTTTTAAACTTTTTTTTAGGGGGTGTTTAGTTAAATTAATAAACTTGGGGGTTTAAATTAGTTGAATAAAATATAATAGTATTTTCAAAATAGGGAAACAAACATGTATTTTGGAAATATTATTAATAGGATAGGGACCCTTTGTATTTCTCTCCAAGTTAGGCAAAATAGGTTCGGCACCTCCTCGTTGACATGGACAAGATTAAGTGATCGATATCTTAAACCGCATGATTCTTGATGAAATTCTCTTCAGATAGAATTATAATAACATGTTTGTACAGTTGCAATCGAGTAACATGGAGATTACATAAAAATGGCAATGGGGTACGAATTTGCACATTGTCTTTTTACAAGAAGCGATGGCCTTTCAAAGCTAAGTCATATTTGTGTAACAATAAATAATGCACACATTACATAAGACAGAGAGAGCATGCAGCTTGACAGAATCCTAAATCTGTGTAGCCTACAGCTTTTTTAGAGAAATTATTTGACCAAGGAGGATCTTGAAGAGATTTCAATTGTCTATATACGATGAAGAGAAACTGGCAGGTTGCTTTTGTACTCATCCAAACCCTAATTGGGAGAATTTACGTAGTTGTGTCACCATCACCACTGCCTAATTATAATCCCTGGAAAAAAAAATCCTGAAATATTCGGAGATCTAAATATTACATTCACAAACAAACAAAACCAACGAGAAGAAATGAAAACTTAAAGGGGATGGATTAAAAGTTAATTAACAAAGAGAGACCAACAATCTTAACCACTCTTATAAAAATGTAAAAATAAATGGATACTTTATATATAAATTTATTCTTGATAAAAATGATTAAACACAATCGGCATCACTAGGTATTTTTGGTAAATCTCTTGGTCTTGAGGGACGGTCATGAGCAAACGTGCATCGAGTGGTTTCTGGAAAATCACTGAAAGGAATGTTCTACCTCCTCAACACCACAATTCATTGGACAAGATGTACACTAGTTGGCTTTCTAGTGCCTCTCTATCTTGAAAGAAAAAGCTGGAAAAATATATCACGTTAGTTATCTGTATATTTATTATTTGTTTACGAACTATATATATAGAGTAGCGGATTCAAAAATTCTTGTTAAGGTGGACCAAAATAAAATGTAATAGCATATAATATTTATATTCT